AAAAACCTTTTGTGTGTGTGTGTGTGTGTGTGTGTGTGTGTGTATGCGCACGCAGAGGGTGCGAACAATGTTTGGGTCAGAGAACAATGTTTGGGAATTGATTCTCTCCTTCCACCGTGTGGATTTCTGGGCTCAAACTCAGGTCATCAGGCTGCAGATATCCTTACACAGAGTTGTCTTGCTGGTCCAACAGTACCTTTTCTAGGTGTTGAATTATCATTTACCAAAGGGAAATTTACATGCAAAGCACAGTGAGAACTCGCCTCACACCTGTTAGGATGGCCAACACCAAGGGCAAGTGTGGCAAGCACTGGTGGGGATGCAGAGAAAAGAGAACCCTTGGGTACTAATCGTGGGAGGCACAGTCCTTATGGAAAACAGTAAGTCAGAAACAGAACTACTGTATGACGCGGCAATCCTACTTATGTTTATACAGAGAAAGGAAAGCAAACCACTGTCTCTCAGCTATCTGTGATCTTTTGTTCACTGTGGCATATTCACAACAGCCCAGATACAAAAACCACCTCTATGTCTGTCAACAGGGAAAGGCATAAAGGAAGTGAACACACATGACTCAGCGGCAAAAAGACACTTTCTTTTAGAGAAAGAATGCTAAGTACATCAGACATACTCAAATACTGTGCATGCGGTTTATATGCAGAATCCCAACACATACAGAGTTGAAGGCCATGCACTGAGATGGAGTGGGCTTTAGGAGTCCTGGGAAGATGCTGGTCATGGGCTCACTTCAGTTACTTGGCTCTGAGTTTTAGAGAGCTACTAAACATGGTAGCTGCAGTTGGCACTACTGTACTGTGCACCTGAAACCTGCTAGGGGTAGGCAGGTTTCAAGGGTCCACACATACAGCTAATGTGAGGTGATGGTTAGGAACCTGGGGATTACTTCACAAAGCATATATGTATGCTGTGTACCTTCACGATGCACACCATTCCTAATAGTCAATTATCTGCCAAAATAATAAAAACACCCTTTCTAGAATCAGCCCCGAGATCACAAGGCTTACAATCCACCCACAACGACTTCAAACTTGGGATGAGAGAGGGAGATGAAGACAATAGAAAACCCAGATCAAAGGATTCCTAATAAAGAGAGACTGATTGTATTCTTGGAGGGCTTCGGAGACAGACTTTCCCCATCTGTGGAGCTTGGGCTCTCTGAAGGTTACCACTTTCTGTAGGAAACTTTCAGAAACAAGTGGCGATGTGATCAGTGCTTCCAAAGTGTCCCTGAGCACATTAATGCCCTAAAGCAGAGCGGTGTGGTCATGGACTGAGATCGGGGATCACTGACCAGCAGGGACTCAGGATGCTCACACCCTGGCAAGCTGAGTGGGAGGCACACAGTCCACCTGGAAAGCAACCACAATGTCTCCAAGGCACTTGTTCCCAGCATGCCTCATTGCTCCATCCTTTTCCACTCCACCCCGGGCTTCATTCTCTCTCTCCCTTTAAGAATCATTGGTTTTTTCCCATGCTCTGCAGATTAGGTTTTCTGGCGTAGTATGCCAGTTTTTCACCTGTTTCTCTCTTTTTGAATAGTGTTTCCCTGGCATAATCACTTTCAACCCTTAGTGATTTTTTTTTTTTAAGACACATACTCTTTCCTTCCTTTTAAGGAAGGGTAAACAGATTCTTTTAGCTACTTTAGCCAGTGTCTCAGCATTTTTAGAGGTAGCACCATGAGAAAATCAGAGCTATGTGATTTTGGAGGACACATGCCCTTAAACCTGTCCTGTCTTTCTTTTTTGATAGCTCCAAGTCTGAGCCTTACTGTCTCTCCTGGGGAAAAACAGGGAGGAAGTGACTCCCTTATGGGACTCGGGGAAGCAGTCTCCCAGCTAGGTGCCTGCCTGCAATTCGCCATCAGCTGTCTTCCCCTTTAGACACCTCCCTCCCCTTCTCACAGCTCTGCTCTGGTGAACAGTGGCTTCATTTCTTCCTGTTTTCCTTTCCTGTTTGAGAAAACAGGAAGGGGAAGGGCAGCGGAGGACGGCCCCCACTCAGGGAGGGGGATAATTTTAGAAGAGAATCCCCTGGCAGAGCTAAGTGGGGGAGGGAGGAGAGCTGTGAAAAGCTGTGAAATTCAACCTGACACCCTATTCAAGGGCAGGCGGGCAGGAAGGTCATGGACATGGCTCAGGCGGGCACTGCTGTAGTTCTCCAAGAGACCTCACCTCTGCTCTGTCTCTGCTATCCTGAAAATGGGTAGCTATGTCCACTTCTTTTCCAGCTTCCCTTGGGCTACTGACAGCTGTTCTGTGGTACTCTGGCCAGTCTCCCGTCCCTAGGCTCCTTTGCTCCCAATGTCCTCTCACCTGCACTCCCCTCTCTGGAGAGCGGCTTTAACTCAGCTGGCTGAGACACCCCTGTCCGTCCTGTCCCTGGCAGCTTTCCACAGCTCTTCACTCTCCAGTAGAATCCCCTGCTTCTTACAAACCTCCCTAGCCACAACTCAAACATCTGCCTTTCCGTCAATGCTCCCCAACTTGGAGCCCGCTGTCCACATCTTCTTATGGCCAACCTAGAGTTTGCTAAATTTTTCTACTTTGATAAATCTTAAATCTAATTTGGGCCGAATGAAAAATGGAATTCCAATATCCTTTCCACTTCTACTTCCTCTTCTTAAATCTACCTGTTACTTCAGCCTCCATCCCATAACCTAAGAAGCCAGAACAACTACTGCTTGCTCCTCTGTCTCATCTGAACACGAGAAACCCCACGGTTATGCCAATGAAGGAGCCCCACGTCTGGCCACACTGGGAGACCTGGCCACACTGGGAGACCGTGAGAGCGAGTTACAGGAGATTTCAGACAGGCATGAGGCCTCATGAGGGGGGAAGAAATGATGCAGCAGGAGAGACTAAGGGAACAAATCACGAAAGTTTCCGAAGCCTGAGCAGCTACAGAAATAGACACCACACATACATCAGTAATAAGTATCAACATTTATTTGGCACCCGATGGCAATACAAAATCTTGGCAGTGGGACGTGTGAAGAGTCTACCACTCAAATGTATGCATCCTACACTGACCAAAGGCAGAATCTGGCAGCAAGTCTTCAAACCCCCTGGTTCACACAGCAAACGTTAATTGAGCACCTCAACTAGCATAGGCCTCAAATACGCTGGGCACCGTGAGGATGCGAAGGAAGTTGTCTCACACGTGTATGTCTTCAGACAGTTTAAAAACAAACAACAAATCAGTGTATAGAAAATAAAACACCTGAAAAAACCCAAAAGAGTACAAACACTAATTAAACTGTATGCTGTAAGAACAATTTAGAAATTGCCGAAAGGTAGGGTTTAACTGGAGTTAGCTGCTTGCCTCCTTTTTTACCCCCGAGAAACACTCATTGAAGACCTAATAAGTGCCAGGTACTGGGTATACAGTAAGAAAGCTCATGGTTTCTTCTCTCTGGGAGCTTTCAGCTTAGTAGGGAAGGCATCAACAAGCCAATGTGCCGCTGGGAACTGCAGTTTGCACAATGAAGAGGAACAGAGGCATGTCTGCGGACAGCGCGGTCCAGAGGCCTCCGACACTCGAGGCCCTGCCTGCTGTGAGGAGCTGACAGGGCCTGGAGCACAGCGAGAGAGAAATCACCGTTTATGGAGATCCAAGGGAAGTAAGAGCCAGATCTTGTAAAGTGGGGTAAGGATTTGAATTTCAGATGAGGTGTAACAGGAAGCTAGTGCTCTAAGCAGGGGAGTGACATCATCAGATATTTTAAAAACTGAAACTACTGTTATGTGGAAAATAAACTGGAAGAGAGGCAAAAACGGAAATGCAAAGGTTTTAAAGAATGATAAAGTTTGGCTGGACAGCGGTGGCACACGCCTTCAATCCCAGCACTCGGGAGGCAGAGGCAGGCGGATCTCTGTGAGTTCCAGGCCAGCCTGGTCTCCAGAGCGAGTGCCAGGTTAGGCTCCAAAGCCACACAGAGATACCCTGTCTCAGAAAACAAACAAACAAACAAACAAACAATAATAATGTTTCATAAAAGCAGAGACAAGTGCTTCAGGGTTAGCGGAATATCCTATCCTCACTAACAAAGAGGAAACAGTGGGGGCGGGGAGGAACAAGATGCTACAGTATGCCCTCACAGGCATACAGGGGAGGACCCCACAGACTTGGCAGAAGCAGTGACTAGGAGCAAAGAGGGGGAGCCAGTGCAAAGCAAGGAACTTTCTAAAAGGAGGCCAGATATGAAGATAGTTTAACCGCACAGCAGAAGTCACAGTAAGCAGGGACGTCCTGGTGACAGGGGCAGTGGGAGACATGGCATGTTCACCTGTCACTGAGCTTTTATATTGAAATGCCCTACCAGGTTCATTTCAGTGACAATTCAAAGAAAGCACGACCAAGGAAATTTCTACAACTTCCAGTGTGACAGCTCGCAGACCTTAGGCTACACAGAGCACAGCAGAGCTGAGAAGACAGCCCTTCACCCAGGGCCTATGTGCAAAGGTATGCACAGGACCTTCTGCTCACAGTAGCAGGGTCCAATTCTCACCTGCCTCATCAAAACAGACGAACACACCTACATTAAACTGGGGTATCTTCCAAATCCTCACTCTGGGACAAATGAGGTTGTAGATATGGGGGGGGGGGTTAGGAGATGATCTCTGAGCTACCTTAACTGATGTAACAAAAGCAATGACCAAAGTCCCCCTAAAAGCCCTGGGAACAGAAATATCAACCAGTGAGAAATCCGCATGCCCCCTCCCCACAATAATACTGTGTTCACAATGTCATTTTCCAGACTCTTTGGCTATAACCAAATTGCTTCTGGCAGCAAAACCATTCAGAGCTGGCTCTACAGGGAGAGAGCACCACACATATGGGAAGAGCTGTCCTTAAGTCTCATACTCAAAAATGGAGATGGCCAACAGGAAATAAGTCTGGGAGAGCCCCACATCCCTGAGGGGGGAGACAGAAACAAAAGAAACCATCCTGAAGCGAAGGCTCCATTGCGCCCCCAGTGGTTGGTCCGGTGGCCTCCGACAGCGCGAAGAGCCGCGGCGTCACGTGGGTGGGTGGCCGGGGAACAGGTAGAGCTGCCGGCACAGCGTGCTGCAGTACTCGGACATCTCCTTGCAGCGGTGGAATTCTGTGCCGGGGGCGTAGCCTTCGCGCTCTTTGATAAGGGCGTTCACCTGGGGGGGGGGGGGCAGAACCGAGGGTCCAAAGTCTGTGACACAGAGCAACCGCAAGGGCAAACCAACAGGCTGGAGGGGAGGCGAGCACTGTGGAGACCGGAAGCTTCATGGTGCCACCCGGCTCGGCCTTACCTTAACCAACATGTCGGCCACGTGCATGTCACATGCTCTTTCAGAGAAAACCTGAGTAAGTGCTTCAATGTACCAGGAACCCCGCTTGGTGTTCCGCATGGCAGCGGTGCCTAAAACCAGAGGCGTGAAGGTCATGGACAATCCTCACAAAGACAGACTTCTGTGGCCTCTCCTAGTCAGAGACCTTGGCATGGAAACACAAGACACCCAAGAGCAGGACAATATGATCTGCATGCAAACTGCTTCTCAAAAATACCTTTAAGGCAAGCGTAGCCACATATCATGTCTGAGCGCGTAGGCAGCCTCATCTTCATTAACTCCTCCTTGCCAGCATCACTCTCCTCACAGCCAGGGGATTGGGGGTGATTCTTTCCATCTTGCTGGTCGACCCCTCGATCTGTCTCATCTGTAGAAAGACCAACAGAAGAGATACAGACGTTACTTTTCTCCCGTCTTCTACAGACCTGTCATAGGCACACCCAAATTCCCTATAATGTCGACTGAAGAGCCGTTTTCACCCGTTGCTCCAACCTATGGCTAATGAATTAAAAAAAAAAAAATTAAATGAAAAAAATCATTACTTTCTAAACACGAACTCACTGCTCAGGGGTAACCTCTAAAGGCCAGGCACATGCACCCACATAGGTCAGAACAAGTCTCATTCTGCATAAGGGTGAAAGTGCCCAATTCAGCACTCCCCAGTAACCTGTTCAGTTAGTAGTATACCAAAATAACCTTTTTTTTTTTTTGCTATATTAGAGAATAAAATTGATATTCAGTCTTTTAAGAAAAGAATAAGTCTGCTTATTATTCATATGCTACATTAAAATTACAACCTCAAACTATGTTACCAGTTTAAAAAAGAATCTATAAGACTAAGTGTGATCTGAGGTTTCTGAGGTGGTTTTACACTTCTAAAACCTTTCCTACTTGTTTATTAAGTTTGTAAGACAAATTATAAGTAGGTGGCCAAGACTTAGAGAAGCTCAAAAAAGGACAAACTTAAAATTAGAGAAATACTGAATATTCTACTACAGAATGGACAAATACTAACAGGCAGCTGTTTGTTTTAGGGTTAGGCGGGCTTCGTGGCTGTATAGAAGGAGGGAAGGTGCACAGGTCAGCACACCACCTAAGAGTGCGCCCGCCCTTCCTTCCACAGGACTTCCTGTGTGAGTCTCAAGACTCTCAAGATTCTAGAGAGAAGAACATTGTGCATGTACCAGGCACTGTTTTCTACTAAGATCTAAAATCTAGGGAGGACACACTGAGTTAAAAACAAAGGAGAACAAAACAAAAGAGCCAAACCAAAAACCATGCTCTTTATCAAGCTCATCCTCTAGTTTGGGAGTCAATCTCTGTATTATGGGAAGATTGGCAAGTTCAAATTTCCAAAGAAGCGTTAACTTTGGGTCACACTTTTTGGACTGGACAAGCACAACAAAGATTCAAATTACTCCAGAAAAAAGGGAATTTCTTCATCCAGTCCTAGCACTACATATAATTCTGGGGTGGGAAGAAAATGACCACTAATGTTTTATTTCCTTGTTCTGCCTCTTGAGCAGGCTAGGCCAGGCTAAGCATGCCTTGTAAGGGGTGGAGAGCTTGACTTCTGTCTTTCAGTTTCAGGCCTATTATTCAATAAACATTATCATCTTCTCTTCACAGTTAACTCTACATCATTACAACTTTTAGACATAAATTCCATCTAAATCTCATGCCTTTTAAGTGCTACTGTGTGCAAAGCGGTCCTCTGGGCTTGTGAAAACATCGATGAATGAAAAACCGCTTGCCTTTACGTGCTCTTTCCTTGGGAAAATGCACTGTACTATTTCATAAGTTAAACTCCCCAAAGCATTATCTGTTGAAGCTCAAAATCTCAGCTGTGACTAAAGGTTTGTAATTAGCTAGATCAACAGCCTGTGATCAGCCACAGCTCACACTCGTCATTGCTTACAGAGATGCTGAGCTTCTGAGAGCTGAGCACTGTGGATATGTTACATAAGCGGGGGTGGGGGTGGGGTGTGGCATGCTGATAAACTAGGGGGTAAATCTCATATCTTGTCTTGTGCGGGTTGTGCCTCACATCTCTTTTTCTCTGACTCTTTCTACACCTGTGTGAAAGCATGTACTCGGAGTCCAAAGTAAGCCTTTTTCTGTCCACAAATACCTCTTCAAACTCATCTCAGATAAAACGACGCTATTAAGTGTGTACTCACGCACCTGCTAGTGCACAAATTCCACCCTTGCATGAGAACCAGCCTCAAGCTGCTTTACGTATACTTGCTTTCCATGTACTACTTAAACATACTTAGATATTTTCTTCTACTTCTATGATGTCATTTACAGCCCTAGGCACACTGCAGGACCTTAAAATATACTCTGTGGTGATACAAAGGGAAACAAGTTCGGATACCATGAACTTTAACCCAAAACTTAAGGCATTTGAGGATGCTGACCATGAAGTAATAGCCACGGCAGGCTTTCTCTCCAGTTTGCCATGAACCAGGTAAAAGCCAAGTAAGCACTTAGGTGCAAACTGGTTAATCATCACAAAAGGTTAAAGGAATTTTATATAACAACTGTCCACAGTTTATAAGAAGGAGAAGGAAGTGGAGGGAAGTGAAATAACTTCTCTTAACTTCACATAGTTATTAAGCAGTAGAATCACAATCTGATTCCAAATTTAGACTCTTAATTACTACTGCTTTCCTCTAGACGAGAAGGAGGCCTGTGTGTCTCCTGAGCCATGTTACACAGGCCTGGCTCTTAAAGGGGTAGAAGAGACACATGCAAGAAAAAGGAGGGTAGAAACAGCTCAGAGAGTCCGAGGCAGACATAGGTTCTGTACTCTTCTCCTGCATGCTCCAAGAATGGGAAAGAAAGACGGCAAGTGTGTGGGAGCGTGAGAGCGGCACACACAGAAAATGGAAGAGGGGGTAAGAGAGGACGATTTGGAGGAGACAAGCAGGAATCCTTAACTGGAATGAGAAACAAACAAACAAACAAACAAAAAGGACATTGTAGTTAATAAGCAAAGAGGAGTCCAGTTCTTAGGAGAACGGGCAGACACTGGCAAGTGATCCCTGAGAACAGGATATGGAGGTGTACAGAGCTGGTAAGACTGAGAACCGTGGGCTGCCCACGTCCGAGCACACCCCATGCATTGGGGACACTTACAGAGCAAGAGAGGCGGTGGCAGCAGTGAGCAGAAGGAGGTGCCCAAGGGGTCCAATAGCACCTGAGAGGAGCAAACAGGAAAGTGAGAGCTGGTGGAGGCTGCCCAGGAGCCACCACCCAGATGCTGGTTCACAGGGCACTCACCTCCACGGCATGCTTGGATGAAGAACATTTTCGGCTTGTTCTGCAGACTTGGACAGTTAGCATTGTCAAAAAGTCGAAAAACCTCCTGGAGCTACCAGAAACAAATGAGGGAGAAGGGAAGTTAGGTGGCTGTGAGACCTCTTCAAGTCCGACGCGTACAAATGCAGCCATCACCTGAGAGGTGGGGTGGTGACTGATCCTGTCAACTTGACTAGATTTACAGTCAATCCCTTAGGAGGCACACTGCGGTGTGCCTGTGAGGGCACTGAATTTCCAGAAAGAATTAACTGCAGAGGAAAGACAGAGAGCCCAGGCTGAAAGAAAGGTATGGGGCAAACAAAGCCAGATAGGCCAGCATCTCTTCTCCTATGCTCCACAATCTACTCAAATGTAAGTATGTAGCCTTGGGCTCGTCTCCAGGGGAGAGCTGGTTTCCTCACTGCGGTGGGTTATCCACTCAAACAGGGAGCCAAAACAAACTATTCCTCCCTTAAGTTGTTTCCTAAGTATTTGGCCCCAGCCCAAGAAAACTAATGGTGAAAATTGGTGCCAGAGACTGGGGTCGATACAGTGATAACCCTTCCCACACAGTTCGTAGGCCTTTAGAGCTGACTTGTTGGAGGAACGTGAAGGAGTCTGAAGCTACAGGCTAGAAAACCCAAGAATGGCATAAGCAGGGTTTCATGGGCCATTTTAGTGGGAATTCAAGAGACCAAAGTGGCAAGAGAAATCCAGACACAGGCTAGGCTTAAAAGATCAAAACAAAACAAGGAAGGACTCAGCTTGTGTCTGCTCTGGTGAGGAATACTAATGCAGTCTGTCCGTACCCTGAAAACTTGAGCTTGAATGGGAAGCAAGGGACTAATTTGTTTAGCAAAGCATATTGCAGCATAACATTGAAGCTGTGTGCCATGGCTATTGCTCGATAAATTTACCCACATTTATAGTGTGTGAAGTGCACAACATAAGGATATAAAGACACAGTTTTATGAAGAAAGGCTCTTGAGTTTGGTTAAAGTTCCGGACAGGGTGAGGGTTCTTTATTTTTGACGAGAACACCCCAGACTCCCAGTGTCAAAGGTCCTCAAGGACAACAGAACTCAGTAGACACCATGGGAGGGTTTTATTAGAGCCATTAAAGCCAAATCTGTATTGGACAGCAGCAAAGGTGCCTTGGGGGAAAGATCCCAACCATGAGAGTTCCAAGTTGGAGGGCACCAATTCTCACAAAGGAGAGTACCTGAAAAAAATGACCCTTGGGTGTATCCTCTGGCTACCCAGGATAGTTTCTTCCAAGGTTCAGCTAAAACAGCAGAGGCTGCTGTAGCTATGGCTCAAGAGGGCCAGGCTACATCTCAAGCTGGCAGCAGGGTGAGGTGATCACAGACCCTTACACTGAGGTACCAGAAAACCCACTGAGGCTAGGCAACGTGCAGCCTCAGCAGGGCTGGATACCTGTATGGAACTCCTGAACATATGAAAATTAAGGGGAAGTCTCAGTTATAACTGGAGACCCCATGTAATAGGAAAACCAGACACATGTAACTCTTGCTAAGCAACACTGTTGGCCCCAAG